TTTACATGCACATTTGATACCGATGAACGCTAGCACTTTTTAAAGCCATGCTCATTTTTTAGGAATTTCATAATTGCATTATTTTATGGCAAATTTCAAGTGATTACTCCACGAATTTCTACTTCTCGGATATCTCAAATTACGTTGATATATCCTAATGTTTGCTCGACAGATTTTTAGTACACATATATCAAAACCAATATATGTACACATATCTCGATACTTTCAGGCTATTACAAACAACAGTTATGCAAACAAAGTTACAATACCATTTTGTACTGGGCAAATAAACCGATTCAGAGGTAAGCGGGTCAGGCTTATTCAGCAGCGGAATGGAGTTAATGACGGGGCTCACTTACCTAAAATTTACCAGTGGAAATATAGCTTGTCTTAGTGTTCATTTCATCATAATCAACTGTTCAACGCGGTGTTGTTTTACGTAGAACCTAGAAATTTCCAAATATTCCCTTTACTTATGCTATCGTAAATACAACCTTGCTTTTAATACCGTTAAACCATTTTGCTACACCAAAACCTAACAGGAATTTTAACAATTCCTACCACAGCGTCTTCCCCATTCGTTAAGGGTTGCATTCTTTGAATTCAAATTGTCTCCTCTAAACTTCCGGGAGGTTGGTCTCGTCACATAGTCGTTCACAGGACTTGACCGCAACTTTGTACCATTGTAACTTTTGGCAGCATGGAGAATTAATATGTCGTGAAAGAAAAGGAGTAGGAAGAAGAAAATAAGTGGAAACTGGATAGACGTTTGATGTTATAATGCCGATGCTCGAGTAAAGTGGATAAATGTACGAGATACATATGTGCACTTTATAGAATGAAATTTTTACACCACTGCCACTTTTGCTGTCACTTAAATATCAATTGTGCCAATAAAAATTAAAACAAGTCCTGCCGTAGTTACATAATGATTCTTAACTCAGTTGTGTCAGACAGACGGCAGTATTGATCAGGATCAACTCGTTAATTCGGAATTATCTCAGGATTAAGTCCTATAGTTAACTCCCAAACTTAACTCGGATCAAGAGAATTTTCGATGACAATACTGACCAAATCTCAAAGAGCGTAGAATAATCAAATCTAGCATGGACATATACCTTTTAATCGGTAATGCAGTCACCATACTAATTCAGATAGGAATCCAATTTAGATTGAATGAAAACTTATTTGAAATAGTATGGTGACTGCATTACCGATGACAACGTGGATGTCTTTGTGTTCTACGCT